AATCCCATGTTAATTCTCCATAGACTCAAGAACCCCATGTTAAAGTATAGCCATAGACTTAAGCTGGTATCCCATGTTAAATCCCATAGGGTGGGGGGGAGGGGGGAGGGGTAGCGTCGACATCCTATAAACCACATTCTTCATTCTGAATTGTGGTTAAAAATTACTTTTTCTGTGCAAATGCATCCAAAAACGCATTCTTTTGGGGTCTATAATAATTGACGATAATTTACCATCGAGTTTTGTTCCTTAATTATTGTAGTATTTTAAAGACCTTTTAGAATATTTAGCAGGATTAATTTGTTTGTCTTAAATAATTATATATTTTAAACGATAGACCACAAAATTAATAGTATTTGGTCACGTGACCATGTGCCGGCGTTCAAAATTGCAATTTTAAACGAAATTTTAAACAATTTTAAAACCGCTATTTTAAACACTCTATTCTTTTGTATCAACCAATTTGTGGTTATGTTATACAGTATTGACATTCATATATGAGTTCGATGCAGATTTTAACGTCGGTTAATAATAGTAAGTCAGATGAAAAATTACTCTTATTTTCGAACTATTTGATTTTAAAATGTCAAAATTTAAATAACTCGAAAAATATTAATGATAGAAAATTTAAAATTTCATATTCAATTTTAGTGTTCAATAGTAAATCTGTTAGTTTCCCTACGAATGTCCAATTAGTGCAGCGAAAGGCAGGATTATAATGTTGTGACGTTCCCATCAGTCAGGTATAGCCATCGTATGAACGGTATATTAATGGCAAATGACTTATGATTTCATAATAAAAGGATAGTAATGAATTGGCAATACTATTGGGCGTGTATTATATTAAATTTCAAGTGTATCATGTAACAATTAAATTGTTATTTAATGTTTTATATAATTAATTGAGAAAAATAATCGTTTATAAATTTAATCTAATTAATATTATAAAGTTTAAGTTTATGTAATTACTTACAGAGATTTATAGTTATTAAGAAAAAATAATAGAACTTATATTTTTATTTTAATTAATAACTATAATATAATTTCTAAATTGAATTGTAAGCCAAAACTACATCTTAATGTAATTTAACAATAAATTAAGTGAAATCACATTCAATTCAATGTAAATTTTACATTCAATACATTAAAAATCCAAATAAAAAGTCGATTATCCGTTAATAATAATATTACTGTATTTACAATAAATTATTGCAACTGAACTAAAAGTAAAAATTTGAATTTGCTGTTCCCGATTTTAGCATTCCTCAATTTTAGCATAAAGTTTGTTAGCTCCGTCGAGTCATATTAGTACTGATAATGCACCCGATTTTGGCATACATTTTAACAGCCCATATGACATGCCAAAATCGGGGACAAACTGTATTTGTTTGTTCAAAAGTTAAAAAATATAATAATTAAATTCTAAGACTACTAAACTTTAAGCAAAGTTTTAAATCAAGTGTTTATTTGATGACATTAACAAAAAAAGCCAAAATTAATTTTAAAATTCTAAATTCTGCTTAAATCACAAGATTTTGATTTTATTAAAAGATAAATAAAATGTTTCCGCTTTTGATTGTTTAAGATTTTATTGAGGAATACATTAGAATTCAATGCAAGACTTCATTGATTTTCACAAACCATTAATATTTATGTGCTCTGAAAGCGTCCATAGATTGCACTTTATATTCAAATCGATATAACATTGTCTCACATAAGGAATGGATGGATCATAAGCTGAAATGCCTAGGGCTTCTTATACCGCCTCATAGTGTTGAGATACATGGCCGTCTTCTCTAAACCAATGGCCTATAACACGAGATATTATTCATTCAACTCAGTGTAATGAGAATTTGATGTAATATAACAAACCGACAGAATATTAGATCTTAGGACACAATTGTCTAAATTATTGAGTTATAAATATTAAAACCAATCTATTTATACAAACTTTGGTTTCGTTAATATATATTTTAGACGAATGTAAATTAACATTATTTTCCGCTTTGGCTTAAAAATTATTTAACTTAGTATTGATATATATTTTTTAAATATTCAGAATATTCTTAATTAGATTTTAACAAAATGTTGATATAATTTGAATAAAATTCCGAATATTATATAAATATATAGTGAAAGCATTGAACACACAGTTAAGCATTAAATACCATAACTTAGTAATTGTAAGCCATGTGGACGTAACAAATCAATGCTCAGTAGAGCCAGTCTTGCATCTAATGATAAAATGTTTGCAAATGTATTGAATGGATCCCGAAGAATATGGCGGAGTATCACAACTCTATGTACCGGCAGAAGAGATTTGGTTACCGGATATTGTGCTCTATAATAAGTAAGTTGAGTCACATTACTCTTAAACTACATTATATTGTTTGTGACAGAATATTAGATCTTAGGACACAATAGTCTAAATTAGTGGATTATAAATATTAAAACCAATCTATTTATACAAACTTTGATTTTTTTAATATATACTTTAGAGTCTAAAGTTTAGACGAATGTAAAGTAACATTATTTTACGCTTTGGCTTAAAAATTATTTAACTTATTAGTTAGTATTGATATATAATTTTTTAAATATTCAGAATATTCTTAATTAGATTTTAACAAAATGTTGATATAATTTGAATAAAATTCCAAATATTATATAAATATATAGCGAAGGCATTGAACACACAGTTAAGCATTAAATACCATAACTTAGTAATTGTAAGCCATGTGGACGTAACAAATCAATGCTCAGTAGAGCCAGTCTTGCATCTAATGATAAAATGTTTGCAAATGTATTGAAGTCTATGGACTGGGAATCCAAGGAATGCTTACAATTCCAGAGATTGTATTGAAATATAGGAAATTGTATTTGAGTTGTAATACAGAGACAAACGATTGCACCAAAGAGTCCATTGATTTTATATCAGCTCTTCTTTTATTCAATTCACTATTCATAGTACAATTCCAGAGATTGTATTGAAATATAGGAAATTGTATTTGAGTTGTAATACAGAGACAAACGATTGCACCAAAGAGTCCATTGATTTTATATCAGCTCTTCTTTTATTCAATTCACTATTCATAGCAAACCATTCAAATAAGTTCTTGTCTTTGACTTCATTGTAACCATTGCTGAGATAAACAACAAAATTGTTATTAGGATTAGACACCCATCCCATCATATATAAGACAATACTAACATATCTTACACTTAACTAACAATACAATCCGATATTTAATACATTACAAGATTACTCACCAAATATTTTATACAAACTTTAATTATAAGCCAATTCTTAGTGCATATTACAAATATTTAATATATTATTGGAAATTTTAATAAAATATTTTAATAAAGTTGTCATTCACTATAGTGCTGATGGTAACTATGAGGTGACAATAATGACAAAAGCCATAATTGTAAGCATTTAAATGAATTAAGTATTTTAATACATATTTAAAATGATTGACTCGTCTGACAGCATGAGTCCGGGAAAGTGACGTGGAATCCGCCGGCAATTTATAAGAGCTCCTGTAATATAGATATAATATATTTTCCATTTGATCAGCAGGGTAGGTTCACATCAATTATATAGTATTATAATGCCTTATAAGTATTGTTCATATAAAACAATTGATATTCTTTCCATTGATTTGCTTGACGTTTGGCTCAAACAAACACTAAAAGAGTGTATAATGAAGTTCGGCAGCTGGACGTGAGTTTGCATTTCTTTTATAATAAATAGTAACATATTTTTATTTATATATAACAAAAATAGAAGCAAAGTTTTAATTTATTTTTAAAAATATGCATGTATAATTTGACCATTTTTGTCATAATAGCATTGAAAATTGTCATTTTATTTATTTATATTTATCTTTACAGATACGGCGGTTATACGGTATAATTCAAAATCATACAATTACCATAATAGACTTTAGCAGTGCTGTAATATTACCTGTGGCTTATGATGTCATATGATTAGGGTAGATTTACTTACGAGTTAGTCAGGTATATAAATATTTTGAAAATACAAATATTAGGTTGACTTAAAGCATAAACACCAACCGGAAGACGGTTCAGACATTGAGATGGGTATGGATTTGAGTGCATTTTATTTGAGTGTTGAATGGGATATAATGGCAGTTCCCGCCCGAAGAAAGGAAAAATTCTATAGGTATTACTTTTCCAGAGTTAACTCAATATTTAACTCGTTATATAATTGCATTGAATGCTTGATATAATTGTTCAGCTGTTGCGAAGAGCCGTATCCGGACATCACATTCAATATAACGCTTCGTCGAAAGACACTGTTCTATACGGTTAATCTCATCATCCCTTGTGTTGCCATTTCTTTCCTATCAATTGTCGTCTTCTACTTGCCGTCAGACAGCGGAGAGAAGGCATGACTACAATCACTAATTAAACGGTCGGCTAATTAATAATCTCTACCATTAGGTCAGTCTTTCCATATCTATAATGCTATCGTTGGGCGTATTCTTCTTGTTATTGGCCGAAATCATTCCGCCAACGAGTCTAGCGGTGCCACTGTTGGGAAAGTATCTATTGTTCACAATGATCCTGGTCACTTTCTCGGTCGTTGTCACCATCGCTGTGCTTAACGTTAACTTCCGGTCTCCGGCCACACATCGAATGGCGCCGTGGGTTAGGAAAGTGTTTCTCAATGTTTTGCCCCGACTTTTATGTATGCAAAGACCCAAACGAGAAGAAGAAGAAGAGACACAACTCGAAGACGACAAGAAGTATATCTATAGTAACAATAAAAGTGATCCGCGAATGAGAGGCTCGCCATCCGATATTGAATTGCCGGACAAACCGATTATGTTTAACAAAATGGGAGTCACGAGACTTAGCTCTAACTCACTTAACGGTCTCAATGACTTCCCTCCGCCGCCACCGCCCGAAAAACTACACATTCCTCCCATCAAACCCTTGATCCCCACCGGAGATAACGCATGCATTGATAGAGTGAACACAACTCTTCCCACTTATGATGCAGATTGCGATCCATTTGTGACGGATGGGGAGCCCATCAGTCCATTAGCTCCCGGATCGGTGGCCGACGAAACAGAGATAATGAGGAGAAAGTTATGCCCTGAGATGGAGAGAGCGGTATTCGGGATTCGGTTTATGGCTCAACATAATGATAATCTCGACAATTATCTTGAGGTATGTTTTGTCATATCTTTTGAATTAAAATCTATAACTTAATTACCATAATATTTTAATATATTTTACACTTATTTAGTTATATTATTTGGAGTGAGTGGGAGTGAGTGGGAGAGAGAGAGAGGGAGAGAGGGAGAGAGAGAATGATTGTGTAAAACAGAATGAAATACTTTAATACGATAGCTATAGAAATAACGTGAAGATTATTCGACTCGCTCTACAATTTTTAACGATTCAATGCTTTTAAGTGAAAAAGAGATTCAATTTTTTGTGTTGAACTCGGAATCAATTTTTTGTATATAAAAAATGAAAAACTCTTTCACTCTTTCCATATATAACATAACTTTTCACTCAAACTGTTATTGAAATACACAGCGAAGGAATGGGTGGCAAACGGTTTTTGCATTTAGTTTTACCGATCGATACACTCCGTCAGTAGTAGTGTCTGTGACATAGATGTTAAACGTTATGAACAGTTGCAGAATTGTGGCCAATACTGTACTCTATATATACAGCGCTTATAAATGCTAACAATGTATTGAATTTCAGTCAATTGATTGTGTAATTAGACGATGAATATGGTCTGAATATATTTGATCGTTATAACAGTTTATTTATTGAAAGTCATCTCAAAGTTTTTTTTACTAAAGATAATTACAAGTTTTGTTTTTCAAATGCCTCAATATATCCATTAAACATGCATTTATAAACTCATTTTAAAGCCGATTCAAATGCTATTCATTTTTATTTTCGATGCGAACAAAATCATGACATTTATCTGTCAATTGTTTGACATCAATCGTATTGATCTGATTTTGAGGAGTTTATACATTACATGTATATACAGTACAAATCGTTGGAAACATGTCTCAAAATTTCAATGTAAATAATATACATATCATATATGAGCTGATGATTTGAACGGTTAAATGTCAACTTTTTTGTTGCGTTTTTTACAACAATAATTATTATTGTATTGAAATTTGAATCCTTTATATTCATAGAAAACATTTTATTTCTTTAAGAAAATTCTATTATTTCGCAAAACCTTTGTTTTAATTTAAAAATCAATTGTTTGGATATTTTTGTAATTCAATAGTCGGATATAACGAACAGTATTATAATCTAGAAACAAGGTTGCAAACAATTTAATATTTAAGTAAAGTTTTGAAATATAGCAGTAACAATATCCATAGAATAGGCATTAATTCAAATTATTGCTATGTTCACACAATGTTGGTTAAAATCAGCCCAAAATTAACCTATTAGATTAACATGGCTGAGGTTGAAATACAGTTATTATTTTAAGCAAGGATTCTCTGCTATTTCTACAAGGGTTGGGAACACAACTGATCTTATTATCCATAAAACATACTGAATTGTGTTTGAAAAGAATTTATGGTAAATATTTTGTTATCTTAACATTTAGTTAGTGTCCAAACCGTTGCCTTATTCCTCTCTCACACAGTCTTACAGTCCTTTTTAGTCCAATGTTTGCCAAAATAAAACGCGTCGTTGAATACCATTGAATCTAGTTTTCAGTTCCTTATTAAAGACACACTTCTTTAGATAGAGCACAGACTTGAAAGAGAGTGAATGAGTGATAGCGAGAGAGAGAGAGAGAGAGAGAGAGAGAAAGAGAGAGACTATATATTGTGAAAGTGATGGTAGTATTGTATGTAAGTATTGATTGTTTAGCAGAGTTTGTCACAAGAGTTGCAATATTATGACAAATGTGACACTTTGTGAAAGAGACGATCAGAACGTGTTGGTAAGGGGTCTGCGAGTAATTGCTCTGTTATACCATTCGCTATCATTTTGATCGCAATTTTGGCGAAAGATTTGCACAAAAAAACACACGAAAAAGTGGAGGATTACTCACTTCTCTCTTATGATGTGTTGTTCAGGTGGAGGAGGACTGGAAATACGTAGCCATGGTTTTGGACCGACTCTTTCTATGGATATTCGCCTTTTCGTGTGTAATCGGAAGTATTCTCATCATATTCAGCGCCCCTTCGCTCTACGACCAGACCCTTCCCATTGATGTCAAACACACCAAATTAGCTTAACATGTGTTTCCCATCTCTTCTCTCCTCGTTATCTCACTTCTAATATATTTTTATTAATTATGACATAAATATATTGTTTTCCTTTTTTAATGTAAATAACATTTTTAGTTCTTTAAATCTAGTCAACAATTATAGTAATAAATTTTACGATTAAACTTTTATTTAATAACAAACATGTTATAAAACTAATTGATTCAATTATTTCAACAATGAGTGAAATTATTTGCCCATTATTTTTATAAAGTTAATTAATTAATTTTTCCATAACATTGTTTAGTTTTTCAAGGCTTTAGACAATAATTTATTATTTAAAATAAAAGTAAAGCTTTATTACAAAATATTTTGAAAATATGCTTTTTGTTGGAGAAATATTACATAACTATTAATATGCAAATAATAGTTACATTACAACCAAATCTTCATCCATATGGCCACCATTAAAGACATTTATAATGATCATGGTAAGTTACCAATGGTAACGTTTGTATGAATTAAACAGTTCTCACTTATTTCCTGTTTGTCTAAATTTTAACCAATAATTTGATGAAAATAACTTATATTTGTAATGAATTGATATGAAAATAGTTTACGAATAGCGTATAGCCTGAAAGGACGGCACAGTATATCTCGTTTGAAATCATAATTTATAAAATATGAAGTGTTTGGCATAAATGTCAGATCAAAAAGCATTCACTTTTTTAAAATTAATCGCTTCGACAAATGATTGCATCGTTTTTAATAAATTATTTCGTTATAATATTGAAGGGTTGTGTGTATTAGTAATGTATTACTTAACTATTCAATGGAGTCGTCGGTTCACTGGTTTCATCGTCTCATAACTGCTTTCCAAAAGTTTTTTATAAATTAAGGATTAAAGTCATTCATTCAACAGATTGGAAACGCATTGATATTTGATGTTATTTTCAAAAAGGATTTANTTAAAATCAGCCCAAAATTAACCTATTAGATTAACATGGCTGAGGTTGAAATACAGTTATTATTTTAAGCAAGGATTCTCTGCTATTTCTACAAGGGTTGGGAACACAACTGATCTTATTATCCATAAAACATACTGAATTGTGTTTGAAAAGAATTTATGGTAAATATTTTGTTATCTTAACATTTAGTTAGTGTCCAAACCGTTGCCTTATTCTTCTCTCACACAGTCTTACAGTCCTTTTTAGTCCAATGTTTGCCAAAATAAAACGCGTCGTTGAATACCATTGAATCTAGTTTTCAGTTCCTTATTAAAGACACACTTCTTTAGATAGAGCACAGACTTGAAAGAGAGTGAATGAGTGATAGCGAGAGAGAGAGAGAGAGAGAGAGAGAGAAAGAGAGAGACTATATATTGTGAAAGTGATGGTAGTATTGGATGTAAGTATTGATTGTTTAGCAGAGTTTGTCACAAGAGTTGCAATATTATGACAAATGTGACACTTTGTGAAAGAGACGATCAGAACGTGTTGGTAAGGGGTCTGCGAGTAATTGCTCTGTTATACCATTCGCTATCATTTTGATCGCAATTTTGGCGAAAGATTTGCACAAAAAAACGCACGAAAAAGTGGAGGATTACTCACTTCTCTCTTATGATGTGCTGTTCAGGTGGAGGAGGACTGGAAATACGTAGCCATGGTTTTGGACCGACTCTTTCTATGGATATTCGCCTTTTCGTGTGTAATCGGAAGTATTCTCATCATATTCAGCGCCCCTTCGCTCTACGACCAGACCCTTCCCATTGATGTCAAACACACCAAATTAGCTTAACATGTGTTTCCCATCTCTTCTCTCCTCGTTATCTCATTTCTAATATATTTTTATTAATTATGACATAAATATATTGTTTTCCTTTTCTAATGTAAATAACATTTTTAGTTCTTTAAATCTAGTCAACAATTATAGTAATAAATTTTACGATTAAACTTTTATTTAATAACAAACATGTTATAAAACTAATTGATTCAATTACCCTAAAATCGTGCCTATTACCCGCAGTCGCGTATAACCCGCACCAACAAAAAGTGCATATATTTTAAAATAAAATGCAATTTACAGATAACCCGCACTTCACGTATAACCCGCAAAAATTTCATACTGTAAAACCTATTTGTGTTGACAATATATGGCTAACATATTTAAACACACTATTAAACTTAATTTTTGGATTTAATCATTTGTAATTTTTTTATTTGTGATTAATTAAATTAGTCATTATGTCTAAAATAGACATATCCGGCGAAGAATCTAATATTATAACTAATCTTAACTCTGCTTTTGAATGTAATTCCGACCCTAATTTTGATGGATTTGAATTATATGTACTGTAATATTATATGAATTTTAATCAAGAAGAATATTCTGAATAATTGAAAATAATGTTAAAACTAATTCATAGTATTTGATAGCATTTGATATAAAAATCACAAAAATGAATGTTTTTCAAGTGGAAATACATTTATCAATGCTTAAGTTTAATGTCATAAATGAGTTTTAACATTATTTTCAATTAATAAAAATAGTCTTCTTGAGTAAAAATCATATTTATTCTTGAATAAAATATTTTAATAAAATAACAATTTATCATTTTAAGATCTCACATAACCCGCACTTTGCAGATAACCCGCACTTAGTATTTTCCCAAAAATATCACTTTTTTCATCAGATAACCCGCGGGTAATAGGCACGATTTTAGGGTATTTCAACAATGAGTGAAATTATTTGCCCATTATTTTTATAAAGTTAATTAATTAATTTTTCCGTAACATTGTTTAGTTTTTCAAGGCTTTAGACAATAACTTATTACTTAAAATAAAATTAAAGCTTTATTACGAAATATTTTTAGAATATGCTTTTTGTTGGAGAAATATTACATAACTATTAATATGCAAATAATAGTTACATTACAACCAAATCTTCATCCATATGGCCACCATTAAAGACATTTATAATGATCATGGTAAGTTACCAATGGTAACGTTTGTATGAATTAAACAGTTCTCACTTATTTCCTGTTTGTCTAAATTTTAACCAATAATTTGATGAAAATAACTTATATTTGTAATGAATTGATATGAAAATAGTTTACGAATAGCGTATAGCCTGAAAGGACGGCACAGTATATCTCGTTTGAAATCATAATTTATAAAATATGAAGTGTTTGGCATAAATGTCAGATCAAAAAGCATTCACTTTTTTAAAATTAATCGCTTCGACAAATGATTGCATCGTTTTTAATAAATTATTTCGTTATAATATTGAAGGGTTGTGTGTATTAGTAATGTATTACTTAACTATTCAATGGAGTCGTCGGTTCACTGGTTTCATCGTCTCATAACTGCTTTCCAAAAGTTTTTTATAAATTAAGGATTAAAGTCATTCATTCAACAGATTGGAAACGCATTGATATTTGATGTTATTTTCAAAAAGGATTTATAGTTAGGAAAGGATTCACAATCTCTCTCTCTCTCTCTCTCTCTCTCTCTCTCTCGCTATCACTCATTCACTCTCTTTCAAGTCTGTGCTCTATCTAAAGAAGTGTGTCTTTAATAAGGAACTGAANCACACTCTCTCTCTCTCTCTCTCTCTCTCTCTCTCTCTCTCTCTCTCTCTCTCTCTCTCTCTCTCTCTCTCTCTCTCATCAGACAAATAAATGAAAGTCAAACATTTAATACTTTTAAATAACATATTGAACACTCCTCTCACTTCCAATTCAGTTATGTCTTCAATGCAATGCTTATCCCATGATATCTAATACTCTATTCGCTTATAAATGGCAACGAAGACCACATGTTTGGACTTAGAAAATGACATTCATTTTTTATAGATTTCATTTGGCTCTTCTTTCAGATGATGACATCATTGCAAAAAACATTCTCAGATATATATAACGTTATATATATCTTCTTCTTCGTTGACAGCTAAGTCTCTCTCTCTCTCTCTCCACCTCACTTTTATCAATATCTCATTCATTTCTTATAATAAAAAATAATAAACGAATACTTTTTTATTTGTTTGTTTTATGTATTTCTTATAGTTATGTATAAATATTTATTAAAATTTTTATTTTCATAACTAATGCGTTAAAATCTATTAGAAGCGAGAATTTATTGTCAAACATAAAATATTGGCAATAATACTGTTCACCACTTAATAAGTGTTATATAAATATTGTATAACTGATTGTTGAGTGGATATACAGTACTGGTTGTAGTGCCACATACTGTGCCTTTGATTGCATTACAATCTTCTCTTCTTCGACACATCAAATTAGGAAAGACTCGGTTTCTCGACATTACAATTAGATTACAATTTCTCCATCACTTTCCCCAATAAATATATACTCTTTTCCTATCGCTATCTTTATAACAATAGCAGTTATTTGCACACAAATTCCCTGTCATTTTACTCCAACTCTACAACATTGTAAACATTATTCAAAATCTATTTTTCTTTGTTGTGTAACTCTTTATAAAGAGTTGGTTTTATAGTAAATATTTATTGCATTTTATTTTAATAAAATGGTGTGCATATGGTTTGTATTGGTTACTGAAGAATTAATGGTAGGCGTGAAATTTAACATTTAGGTATAAACTGTTCGAACAAGGTAATACCTTAACATTCATTGTACTTATATTATACTGTATATCATCACTAAGTTTTTAGGTATTTGTACACATTTTTAAAGAATATCCACTGAATGTTCACATGAAAGTATACATTCAAAGTGTGATAAGTTATAATAAAAATAAAAGTACAATGAATGTTAAGGTATTACTATTGTTATAACTTATAACATATAAGGTATACTTTAAAGTATTTGTTTCATAAATGCAATTTAAACTTAATTGAATAGACTGTATGAATGAGTGCTGTATATTATACATAGTGATATGATTTTCTCCCAACAATTTATTGAACCAAAAACTGTGCGATCGTTTGTGAGAAGGTTTTGTGAAGACTGTGTGTCACGTATTGTATATTCACATGAACTGTGTTTGAGATCTACTGAACGACGATATACTCAATGCCGTCGATTGGTATCCGTTTGCGAGAACCCAAAGACGTGTTTCAAATACATCAATGAATAGTACACTTACTCTTACTTTTATTTAATATTTATCAGCGATGGCCACTCTTAAAGTCTCTCTCTCTCTCTCTCTCTCTTTATCTCACTTCTAATATATTTTTATTAATTATGACATAAATATATTGTTTTCCTTTTTTAATGTAAATAACATTTTTAGTT